CCCCCCCCCCCCCCCCGGATTGAATGGATCTTTTTCAGTGATTTTAAGTTAATACATTTTATTAGCTGTATGTTAGACAAGGAACAGTCAGAGGTGGTTTTGCCATTGCCTTCTGAAATATAACCCACAGCCTCCAGTATTCCTTGGCAGGATCCCATCAGAGTACTAACCAATGCTGACCCTGCTTAGTTTCAAAGATCAGATGGAATTTGGTGCCACAACAGTACTATAAGCATCTTTATTAGGTTGCCAAATCTCTCATGGCTTCACGAAATTGTGGGCATATACACAATTTGTGGGCATATACACAGACAGACAGACACAACATATATCATGGATCCTAATGGGCATTTCAATGCTGATGTCTGAAATCTGATATTCTACTTTAAAAGAAACCTTTACAGAATTAAAGGTTTGGTGGTGATTCCTATAATTATTCATCACTTTGAGCTTTCGCCAAAACAACCGTACCATTTGTACATTTTTGCCATCCGAAGCTGCTTATGAAAGCACTTTATACAGCCATGTCATCCTTTTTATTGCTGGAAAATGTTATTATTAGAATATTGACAAAGAGCTAAAGAAAGTCTACTAAGCTATATGGGACAAGGCATTCAAACCACTGCCAATGAGAGACAGAAAAACTGAAATCAGCTGAACAATGAGCAAATCTGGTTGCTACCTAAATGTTGTTATTTATTTATCGTGTCAGGAGCAAACCAAAACAGTTGTATTGCATTAAAACCAAACAAACAAACAAACAAACAACACACAAAGTTTGCAGACTTGGTATTCTATTAAATGTCCTTTGACCAGTAGCTGGCCACTTGGAGTACCTAAATGTTGTACAAACACCCTTTCTTAACCAGAACTCTCAGGATCAGTAATGAAAACATACTAGGTAAAGGTAAAGGTTTCCCCTGATATTAAGTCTAGTCATGTCTGACTCTGGGGGGTTGTGCTCATCTCCATTTCTAAGCTGAAGAGCCAGCATTGTCCAAAGACACCTCCATGGTCATGTGGCCAGCATGACTTCATGGAACGCCGTTACCTCCCTGCAGAAGTGGTATCTATTGATCTACTCACATTTGCATGTTTCTGCTAGGTTGGCAGATGCTGGGGCTAACAGTGGGATCTCACCCTGCTCCCTGGATTCGAACTGTCAATCTTTCAGTCAGCAAGTTCAGCAGCTCAGTGGTTTAACTCACTGCGTTACTGGGGGCCCTTGAAGACATACTAGAATCCATTAACCCACTTTCCAGTGTAATTGGGTTCAAGAGACTTAAGAAATGAGCCAAAGGGATGGAGAAAGGAAACAGCATGACGAAAGGTACAACTTTTCTCAGGACATTACTGCCTGAAGCTGTTATCCCGCAATGTTCCTGCAGCCTAGGATAGTGGCTGCTTACCAGTATTGTCACCCTATTCTTTGCACCACTGCCAGTGTAGCACAGCTGTAATGACTCACCAGACTGCTGGGTGGGTGGCACAACTCCACCTTTCTGACACTTTGCAGTTACGCCGCATGTAGTGTCCACTATAGAATTGCCCAGCCCTCATTGCACCAGGTAAGAGCCCAGGACCATGGCATGAGTTAATGGTGTATTTTGTTGAAGGCAACTTCATAGCAGAGAGTTGATGGATGGGCAATGAATATCACATCTATGCTGTTACACAATCTCCATGTGCTTAAGTCCTCAATCTTCAATGTATTATGGCTACTTACAGCAGCAACACCTGTGGAGACCAGAACTTAGAAATATTTCAGTACCTAGCAAGGAGACCCTGGTAGTGCAATGGGTTAAACCCTTGTGCCGACAGGACTGCTGACTGACAGGTCAGCGGTTTGAATCTGGGGACAGCGGATTGAGCTCCCTCTGTCAGCACCAGCCCCCCATGCGGGGACATGAGAAAAGCCTCCCACAAGGATGGTAAACATCAAACATCCGGGCATCCCCTGAGCAACATCCTTGCAGACGACCAATTCTCTCACATCAGAAGCGACTTGCAGTTTCTCAAGTCACTCCCAACACACACAAAAAAGTTCCTAGCAGCCATGCAGGCTGAGGGATTCTGAGGATTGTAGATCATGACAACAACGTTTCCATAGGTTGGTAGGCACTTTCCAAAGTAGTCAACCATCTTTCAGTCTCAATAAGATGGCCTGAGAGGCCAGGCCATTTCATACCCTGAAAGATAAATAATTGTAGTGAACTCTTTTTACCTGGCATTCCAGCAGGGCCGGGGGTACCTGGGGGGCCTGGGGGGCCTTGATAACCCCGATACCCAAAATCTCCCCGGCAGCCACATTCAGGTGGGTTTTGTGGTCCACTTTGTGTAGTCTGTAATCACAGAATTGAAAAATAAATCAGTTCAAAGTCTGCATCCACTGTTGTTCATACAAACACAAGAACAATGAGTAAGAAATTAATATCTGGCATCGATGTCTCCATTTATATTGTTAAGTAAGGGTAAAAGTTCCCCCTGATATTAAGTCTAATTTTGTCAAACTCGGGCGGTTGGTGCTTATCTTCATTTCTAAGCCACAGAGCCAACGTTGTCTGTAGACACTTCCAAGGCCATGCGGCCAACATGACTGCATGGAGCACTGTTGCCTTCCCGCAGAAGTGGTACCTGTTGATCTACTCACATTTGCATGTATTTGAACTGCTATGTTGGCAGAAGCTCGTCCTAAAAGCAGGAGCTCACCCCACTCCCCAGATTCGAACCGCCAACCTTTCAGTCGGCAAATTCAGCAGCTCAGCAGTTTAACCCACTGCGCTCCCAGGGGGCCATATTTATATTGTTAGATTTGTGCTATTCTGTTGTGCCAAATGGATAGATGATATCTCTGTTTTTGTAGAACCTAGTTCTTCTCTGCTTTGCTACCTGATGATGAACAACTTTCTGTGCCCTGGCACCACAATTATGCAATGTCCTCCTTTTAGAAGCCCCACTGACACTGGCATTTACTTTATTCAGTACCAAATTAAAGCATGGCTTTTGATTAAAGTCTTTGGCTTCAACTGATTTTGTCCAGTTTTGTACACATACAAGGTTTTAGATATTACTTGTAATTTGTTAGATAGCTTAATATGGTTTTAGATGAAGATAATATATTTATCAACTCACATTTTATATGGTTTAAAATGTTTGCAATTGATTTTATGGTATGCCAACCTGAGATCTTTGGATGAAGAGTGACACCTGAATAGTTAAAGAAACACTGTAGAATGAATTCAATTTGACACCGCTGTAATTTCAATGGTTCAGTGCTATGGCTGTTGCTACACTGAAGGTGGGAGGTGGGCAGTGAGTACCATTCCAGGTCCCTGAGCCCAAGGAATATGGATGGCCATATATAAGTAGTTGAGACCAATTCCAACTCTGAACCAGCCCAACCGCTTACATGGGACCAAATTCTCAGGAAGAATGTGAAGCAATCCATAGTGTTTGTTAACACATTTCTAACCTTTACCCAAATCAGTTCTATGCATCATGCAGTCACCATGGACCACACACACACACACACACAGGCATACACACACTTTCAGGATACTGTGTCTGTATGACTCTGGACGCCAGGGTTCTATTTCCTGTTCCTCTAAGGAAACCCATTGGTGATGTTGGGCAAGTCATACACTCTCCATCCCAGAAAACTCCTAAGAATTAGGGCTTCAGGATCACCATAAATCAGAAACGACATGAAGGCACACGACAACACAAATCTACAGTTGTGCATTCACAACTGCTACGTATTCATAATCCTTAGGCAGTCTGTAGTTTAAGGCCTATGTAGGGATCATGAAAGTCTCCTGAATTCTACCTGTTGGGAAGCTACTGCTGCAAGCAACATGGGTCAATTTCTCTGTTGATTGGGAAGCAGCTGCTTGGCGTTTCCTCCCACAAGGATCCCTTTTCTGCCTGTCACAATAGAGATTACTCACAGCAAGTAACATAAAGCAGCTTATGTTACCAATTCCTGTCAATCCCAGGGACTGCTCACTGGTAAGTGGTGTAAATCATATTGAAATTCACTATGTAGCAATGTTATGGTGCTACATTATAAACAGTGGTCATATAGGAGTCCAGCATTACATTATTGTTTTTAATTGTTTTAACTTGGTTGCATTGATTCTACTTGTTTTGCTGCTCTAAAATCTTTTGATGTCAGGCAAGGTAGTGGTATTTAAATCAGTCAGTCAATCAATCAATCAATCAATCAATCAATCGTCTGCTCTAACAACTCTTTTTAAGGAGGAAATGACCCTGCCAGCAGAAGTATTTGGAACCAGAGAAGTCATAGATAGGATGCTTAGCCTTTTCCCATCCACTATTTCTATATTTTAGCACACACACACACACCCTGCCCCCTTTAGCTTTCAACACGCAGGGTTGTCAGTCAATGGAGAAAAATATCATTCATTCCCTGGAAGAGTGTTTGAACAACTATAGAATACTTCAAACACTTTTTATTGAGTCAAAACCTCCCTCCCAATGTGCCAATGGAAAAGTCCATGTCTTTGCTGAACTATTCATAATATTCTGTAGGATCAGGCTTCACTATTTCTGAAAAATTAAATGGGAAGTAGTTGCAAATAATGGTTACCACATGAGTGAGAGCAGTGAATCTGCTCTGGGCTCTTCTCCAAACTTTAAAATCCCAATCCAAAGCACTGAAGCCATTTCAGGCATTAGCAATCAGCACCTTCAACAGCTCCTGGAGCAAAGCCCAGAGTAAATCCACCATTTCTCATCAACCTGGAAGCCATCATTTGTTGGAGGGGGTCATAGGGTTCTAAACTTATTTTCTCAAACACAATACAAATAAACTCTATCACTACAATTGTGGATTATGTAGTTAATTCCTTTCCCCTAGTTTAATTAATGCACTCCTGTGTGTTACAACGGGAGAGAGAAATTAAGAGGAACAAACTTGACCATCACCCCATTTCATTAACTGATTTTATATCTCATGCAAATAATGTACTGAGCTTCACGATAAAATACATTTATATTGGCTTCAACAGTTAATAGGGTTCTTTTTCCAGAACTAGCACAGACCATATGTCACAGTTTTTGTAACTGCAATGACTCAATGTTATGGAGTAATGGGAGTTGTAGTTTGTTGATGAACAAGCTCCCTTTTGCAGAGAAAGCTAAAGACTTTGTAAAACTACAACTCCCAGGATTCCGTAGCATTGAGTCATGGCACTTAAAGTGGTGTCAAACTGCATCATTTCAACAGTTTGGATAAACCATCTGATAAACCAATTGTGTTGTGAAGTCTTTTTAAGGGGATGCTTTGAATACGATTTTCCAGCGTCTTGAGAGTGGGTTGGACTGGATGTCCCATCAGGTCTCTTCCAGCTATATGATTTTGTGATTATAACAGAAGATTTTCATTTTAAATTTGTAAAATATTACCAGGATATTTGAAGTGACCTACCTTATTTTTCAGTGTATAAGACGACCCCCAACTTTTCCAGTTAAAATATAGTGTTTGGGATATACTTGCTGTATAAGACTACCCTTCTTCCAACACACACCATGAGATTGTGGTGCAGCTGGCTGAGTGTAAGCTGCATTAAGATCACTCTGACCAAAAGGTCATGAGTTCGAAGCCAGCCCGGGTTGCAGTGGGCTTCCAACCAATTGTGTAGCCTGTTGTCGACCTTTGCAACCCGAAAGACAGTTGCACCTGTCAAGTTGGAAAATTAGGTACCACGTTGTGTGTGGAGGCTAAATTAACTAATTTATGAGGTCATAAAAAAAAGACTCCAGCAAAAGCACTCCAGCAAAAGCATGCGGGGAATGTGGAAGTACTTCATCAGTGTCGCAGATGGATGATGAAAGCGACAGCTCCCCTGGCAGCCAGGAAAAGTTAAATAGCCTCTGTGTATGTCTGTATACATTGTATGTCAAATTGGCATTGAATGTTTGCCATATATGTGTACACTGTAATCTGCCCTGAGTCTCCTGCGGGGTGAGAAGGGCAGAATATAAATACTGTAAATAATAATAATAAATAAATATTATCATACCTCCTTCTCTGCCTCTCAGATCTCACACATGCGCGCCTGCACCGCTTCACTGCAGCCCACAGGAGCGAGATCTGAGAGGCAGAGGAGGAGGTACAGTAATAAGAGACAAGGGTGGGCCAGATGGGTGAAAAAGGCGTGTTTTTCTGGGCACAGCGCCACTTTTTCCATACCCCGGGCATTCTGGATGCCTGCAGCTTGCTCCGCCCTTCAGTTACACCTTCCTGGTGAGCGCCCCCTCACCTCGTCATCGGAACCGCATTAAGTCACTTCTTTCCACAAATCCTAGTGAGTGGATTTTCTTCTACCGTACTTGTACAGTGCCGCCCCTACTGCTTTCATACTGTCACCGCATACGGTGGGCATGCGGCCGCGGCTGTTTTTGAGCTCCCCCTGCCATATGTGGCGGCTGCAGATTCTCCAATATGGCTTGGAATTTTTAGCACCCTCTCTATAAGATGACACTCGGCATATAAGACGACCCCCAACTTTTGAGAAGATTTTCCTGAGTTAAGGAGTAGTCTTACAAACTTGATAAAAATCCCTCTTTTATGATTATTGCATCGATTTTACATCTGAATGTGTGTGTTTTTTGTTTAAGAATTCAAGAAAGCATATCCTAAATGTTCAACTTAATTAATAGAGGCATAATCATTTTTTGCCATTTTAATTCCAAGTCATTTATCTGCATCAGTGTATAAGGTTCATGGATTTAAATTAATTTTAGATGTATTAATTTTATTAGAGGAGCTTCAGTTTTAGAATAGCAAGAAAAATAATGAGCACAATAAATTATAGTACTAATACACTAGTTCAACAGCACCTTTACCTTTGCAAAATCAGCCCAAATCTTGTTTTCTCCCTCTTTTATTACTTCCAATGAAATTCTACTCAGAAGTAAACCCTGCTGACTTCAAATTAGGTGCCTACATCAGAAAACAGTCTTAAATAGCACATAAAATCCATTTTCAAATTCTAAAAGAGAGAGAAAACTGCACATCCCACAGTATTTTATACATACCTGACACTTTGTCTGATTAACAGATTATACCTCATGTGCTCATAGTAGCAATAAAACAATTGATCCGACTTTACTATTAGGGTAAGATCCATCCAAAATTAAGGACATTCTACTGATTCCAGTAGTTTTGAAAGATGCTTAACTCTGGTTGGATTGTGTCCTTACTTTGCAAATCTAATCACATTTACTACACTGTAAGACAATGAGACTTGAACATCAACATGATTAGAAGTGGTGCTTCTCCAAATGCAGTAAATGAGAAAACAAACATCAAAGCAGTCGATTGCATGCATGCAAAAGAAAGAAGCAAATTGTCCTCTGATGCTATGCTATATCCATCTGCTAGCTTAGTCCAGGAGAGGAATCTGCATATATCACATCTACAATATTAATGTTCAGCCTTAATCAATCTCCAGAGCGCTGCATTGTCTTAAGCAGAAAAACAGCAAGTTATTGACTTTCTAAATGTTGTCTTAGAAGATTAATTCAGAGTACCTGGACTCTGTTTGAGGTAGTCTGTGCTACATCATCTACCTCTGGTTTCAAGGCATTTGGGTCAGGAGAAGGGCTATTACCATCATCATCATCCTCAACCGTCCACTCAACCAGTCGACTCCGCTGTCTCAATAATTCCCTGCTGCTGGAACCTTTGGGGCCAATCTGATGGCGACTTTGCAATACTTTGGCCACCGGGTTACTAGCTCTTCTGCTCACCTCCATGTATTCTTCTTCACACAGGCAAAAACAAAGAAGCAGCAGCCAAGTTAGGAGACTCCAATTGAGGAAATCCTTGGGTAACATATTACTGAACATAGCAAAGTTTCCGGAGTTCACAAGATCTGCAGTGACCGTGATGTAGTCTTTTCAGGCTATCCCCACGATTAAGGCTGGCGACAAGACCTGGTAACCACAGCTTTATATGCTGTGTGCGATAAATTATACTATGAAAATGTCAGAGTGGAAGGAACCTTCATCCCAAATCAGTCATGCTTTCTTAAACAACCCAGTCATTATTCACCACATCCCCCCTCTGCAGGGAAAATTGATTTGCATGCTGGAAATGACCACTGTATTTAATGGACAGCTGTGGTTCCTGTTTGGGGGTGTACCAACAAATGGTAACTCCTTTCTCTCTTTCCCTGGCATATGTTCATTTTAGGGTGAAGGAATGAGATGGAAATGAAGAACATGTGGCAAAGTTTTTACGGTCCTTGATTAGACATGGAAGTGCTGGGAATGTAAACGCTGAAAAGATTTTCTGGAGACAGTCCTCTTATTTGTTTGCCAGCAACTCACTCACTCTCTCTGTTTCATATTGTAAACACTGAATGAATATCTCATTCTGAAAAATGGATTTTTTTGCCAGTGAAGGGGGAAAATGTACAAAGGAAGATTTTGACCTGTGAGTTTGACTTGAATGTTGTTTCCTACTATGCTTGCTCGCTTTAAAGAAGGCAAATATTTGTATTGTGCACTAACGGTTGAAGGAGACTGGAAAAACAGACCAAAATTCAGACCTTATACTGTGTCCCAGTTCTCAGAGCAAAGTCTGAGCTTCCCAGTCAAACATCTTCTCCCCCATAACACTTCTAATTTCCGATGTTTTCCTAAAAGCTGTGGCCAAACCAAATTTGATTTTCCTGCCAACTATAGATAAATGACTATGAACCCAAGACATATGTTTTGGTCTTATAAATGACTATGCCTATATGAAATCATCATATCATTGTAATCTGTAATTCTTTGAATCCACCCACAGTAAAACATAGAGGACACCAAAAATACAAGAGGTAACCTTGTACATTTCAATGTTTAACTCATTTTACTAAATATAGAAATTTTAGTGGGAATCTAACATGATCAGGGGCGGCCCGTCCATTACGCCAAGTAAGCCGTTGCGGAACACTTTTTTTTCCAGGGGCGCAGAGGCGCCTCTGTAAATGCCCCTCCAGACATTCCAGAAAACCTACAACTCCCCGGTTGTTCTTGTTATAGCTGAACTCCAGCTGGGCCTACGCGGGGAGCCCGCAAGGGTTTGGAGGACTCGGGGGGGGGAGAGATAGAGAGGCCTCGCCGCTGTTGCCGGCTTCCGGGCCTGAGGGGAAGGCCCGGGGAAGGAGGAGAACAACAAAGCCGCTTCCCCTTTAAACATGCAAATGAGTTCCGCGGGGCGCCTGGGCGCTCATCCCGCCCCCGCATGCCAGCCAGCCAATCAGAGTCCCCGCGGCTTCCCAGGGAGGGAGGGAGAGGGGGTAACATCACACGGTCTCCGCCCCCTTTGCAGCCGCTGCCATTTGAGCACTTGTCAGCCAAAGAGGAGGAGGAGGAGGAGGAACCCGGCTCGGCCTGAGGAGAAGGAGGGTCAACAGACACAAACTGCTCCCCTCCCCCCCCCCCCAAAGGGCAGGTCACCCTGGGATGCCTGTACTAGGTTCTGGGTGCCATGGCCTCCACGCGGGTTCTGTCAGGATCTCAAGGAAATGCGGGATGGAACCGCTTTCCACGCCACAGCCAAGTTCCCTTCATTTCTCTTCATTTCCCTTCAAGTTCAAAGGACATTTAATCAGCTACCAAGTTTGCAAAATTTGTGGTTTGTTTGTTTGTTTGTTAAAAATGCAATACAATTGTTTGGTTGTTCCTGACACGATAAATAAATAATACTCTTTCTAATTTTCCCACTAAAAAGCCTTGTGCCAGTAGCGGGGGCATTGTTTACCTCCTCTCTCCTGGCCTGAGGGAGCCCTAAGTGCCGCCCCCAGGGAAGAGGTGACGCGCGCTGCCCTCCCTCCGCTTTGGCCTATCTCCCTCGCTCGCTACCTCCGCCTCGTGCTTCTCCTCTGCTCCTCTCACTCCGAGGCCACGCGCGGCGCCTGCATGCGCTCTCCTTCCCTAGAACGCCCTCCCCGTTGCCAGGCGACCAAGACGGTTTGCCGTTGTCGCTAAGGCGCTGGAGGCCGCGTCGCCCAGCTTTCGAACTAACGGAGCATTCCTTCGCCCCTTTCCTGGTGCAAGCATCCTGATAGCAAGCCGATAGCTGGTGGGTATCTCTGTATTTATTTATTTTTTAAAGTCCAGGCAGAACTCTTTCTGGACGTTAGGTATTTTCTTGCGCCTTTGGCCTTCCATATAGGTGACCCAGAAGCAAGCCAAGAGCACTTCTTCCAAGTTTTGTTCTCTCTCGCAGGGCCCTTCCACACAGCCCTATATCTCAGGATAACAAGGCAGAAAATCCCACAAACTGGGTTATCTGAGTCCACACAGCCATATATCCCAGTTCAAAGCAGAACATGTCGCGGTTTATTCAGCTGTGTGGAAGGGCCCCAGAGGGATTTCGCTCAAGAGAGACAGAGACAGATGTCTCTCCTAACGAAGGCACAGTGTTCTGATAGATTGTATACTCTCGCTGACTCCTTCTACACTGCCATATAATCCAGATTAGCAGATTGAACTGGATTATATTAGGCCCCTTCTACACTACCATGGTGGAGCAGCAGGTTAAACCGCTTAGCTGCTGAACCTGCTGACTGAAAGGTTGGCGGTTCAGATCCGGGGATTGGAGTGAGCTCCTGTTGTTAGGCCCAGCTTCTGTTACCCTAACAGTTCAAAAAGTGTGTATGTATATGTATATGTATGTATGTATGTGTGTGTGTGTGTATATATATATATATCTCAGTGATTGGTTTGGGGGGGGGGGCGCCAAAATACTGTTTGCTTACCATTGAAAATTACCTAGGGCCGCCTCTGAACATGATTATATATCATCTGCCTTGATTTTGTTTAAAGTTGAGTGACCAAGAAAATCACTGCCCTCACATCCAGATCAAATGTCCACAGATACAGAGAGATGAAGAGAGAAAGAATGAGAAAGAAGAAGAGGGAAGGCAGAGGTGAGGAGACTACAGAGTGATTCAACTCTGTTGAATTACCATGTAACAATAGTATACTGAATACTAGTAATTTGCCAGAATAATCTGTATTTGGACATCTAGACATCAGGATACCACAAATCCAGCGCCCACAATATGCTCTAGCATGAAAAATGATATTATGCATTATGGTGAGCTGTAACATTCTTCGCCAATATCCTACAAGACTCTACACCAGGCATGGGCAAACTTAAGCAATTGAGGGAGAAAACGAAAGGGCCTGAAGTGGTTAGGAATTGTGGGAATTGAAGTCCAAAACACTCAGAGGGCCAAAGATTGCCAATGCCTGCTCTACACTATGCTGTGGGTTCATCAAAGTGGAAATAGCTACCAATGAAGTTACATTTCTCTACATTTCTGCTTTGCCACTTTCATGAGGGAGAGTGAAGGGTCTACTATACTTGGGGTCATCCAACATGTCAGAAGGAGGGGATATTCAGTACAGACAGAAGGACATACTTCTTCATACAGCCATGTAACACTAATCTATGAAAGCTGCTGTGACTTGAGGTCATGATGAACAATAAGATGATTTCAAAACAGGAAAAGATGAATTCCTCAAGATACATTAATGACATGATACTGGTGATGAGGTCTATATTTTACCTCCAAGATAACATTTCAGGAGAAGCAGCAATGGGAGAAGGTTACTGTCTTCACATCCAACTTTTTGGCTTCACTTGGGGAAAACTGGTTGACCACTATGAGAAAGAGGATGGCAGACAGCATGGAACTCTTCTTATGTGTTATTTTTTGTGTGTGTGTGTGTGTGGTTTTGTTATGTTTCTTAACTGGTAAGATTGTGCAGTAGCTGCTAGGTAAGATTGTGCAGTAGCTGCTAGGGAATCCCAGTCTGAGTTTTATTCTGAATTTTAAAAGAGCTATACGAAGTATAACCTATAACCAAAATAGATTCAGCACCTTAGCTCTTTTAGAGTTCAGATTAAAACATGGGGCAGGTTCACGATCTGTAAATCCATCAGTTGCTACTAGCCACAAATAACAGTAACGCTGAAACTCAAGTCTATGGAGTTATTACAGGTTGAAGACCCCTCATGCAGAATTCCAAATTTCAAAATACTCCAAGCTCTAAAATTGCCCACATGTGTGGTTGGGATGGTCAGAACTTTGCTTTCAGATCATTTAGTGTAGTCTCATGCACAGGATTTTAAAGTTATTGTATACAAAATGACATTCGGGCTATGTTTATATGGTATATATGAAACATAAATTAATTGTATTTTTAGATTAGGGTCCCTTCTCCATTATGTATATGCAAATATTTCAAAATCTGAAAAAAATCCAAAATATGTAACATTTCTGGTCCCAAGATAAGGGATTCTCAACCTGTACTATATCATTATTTCCCTTTTTCTACTCAGATCAAATAGCCTTGGCAGCAAATGCTGGGAAGGTACTGATGTTTTCAGCTGGTAGTAAAGATTTCAAGCTTGCCAAATGCTCCCTTGGAGTTTCCTGTGGCATTAAAGAGCAAAGTGTTTCCAGAATGAGTAATGTCTATTGATAGCATACATGTGCTGGAAAAAGCAGAAAAAGCATAAACTAAAGGCAGCATGGTTTCAGAACCTGAACAAAAGCTGTCCAAGCATAATTTTGACCAAAAGTTGATTGTTCTGGATTTCCAATTACACTTGCCACTTCTAAATATCTCTTACATACACTGTTATTGTGCAGCTTTGTTGATATTTTTGGTTCTCTAGTATTAAAGAAAAGAATCCGAGTCTGAAAAACAACTGTCTCAAGAATTCCCCATTGCATGGTTTCATGAGAAGATGGTAACATTAGCAAATATAGGGTATGTGTCAGCTTATGTATTTAGTTCCTACAAACTAGCCCTACCCATCCTCCTTCCACAAAAACAAAATCTACAAGCTACAGTGCCATTCTACATGTCAAAGAAAAAAGGAGGAAGAAGACAATACAGATTTATATTCAGTGTGCATGCACCAATTTATATGTGTAGAGCAAATTTAGAAATAATTACAAAACAATCAAAGCAGTTAAAATGCATATTACTGGAATGGGCACTTTTTCTGCCTGGTCAGCTGGTTGTTCAATGCAAAGGATAGATCACCTTCAAAACCTCTGTCTCCT